TAATTGTGAACTCACTGTCCAGAAATGCGATACCACAAAGACATTACTGGAATTAACTCCGCAATAGCCCAGCCCTCACCGTCCGTTACAATCGTAAAGCAAGCTCATTGCTATTTTTGGGGCCATATTGTAAATGTGCATAATTAGTATTGCGAGTCTGAGAAACACGTTTTGAATACACTGTGACATGTTTAGACGTTATATTAAACTGTTTATCTACCTAAAGAGTCCTTACTGTGCACTGTTAATGAAGAGACGTTAGAAACAAAATCATGAACGGCAATGCATATGCACAATGTTTATGCGATTCGCATTTCAAATTGATTCAGTCTATCAACAGCGGGTTAATCTACACGTCCGCATACTATACGTGGTTTTGTATACAGTATTGACATGTGGGTGGCCTTCATCCAGCAGTGGATTAACAAAGGGAGTGCTGCGCGTGGTGCATTGCATTTATTGGAAATGTTGGTTTATTTATTTTTCTTCTTGGTTCCTTCGGTAAAGTCACGTAGAATGGAAATAATAAAATAATAAAAATAAAACATAATAAAATAATTCTCACGACGTTTGAACATTCAGACTCTGTCTTCTCGACATACTTGTTCTCCACCTGAGGACGGCTGCTTGCGTTGTGGCCGAAACGTCGTGATAATTTTTCTATTATGTTTTATTTTTATTACTTTATTACTTCCATTCTACGTGACTTTAGCGAAAGAACCAAGAAGATGAATCTCTGCAGTCACGAAAGCTTTAAATCGAAATTTATTTATTTTTGTAAACATGGCCACCGTTTTAAGATAATTATTTCGTATAAATCGGTGTCTCTTGGCATTATGTAGGATACGGTATACGATTTAATTATAGGTAATGTATTTATACAGGACAATAATTTATCCTTGTGTCAATCCACTGCTGGATGAAGGCTCCTCCAAGCCTTTCGGGCGATGCGGGCCCGCGTGTAATTACGTTAACGTTTAAAGAAACATGCGTCAATATATTTAACTCAATGTTTAATCCGTTTAATGTGTAATCGCATGCTTAATTATGCCGTGTTGTCGGCCGTTAATTAGTGCCAGGTGAGACGACGCTCACAGCGGAAGCTTTTATATCCGAGAGAGATAATCGATCTTCCAAAAACCATCATCAGGGAATGTAACATTTTTGTTAAATGTTAAGCTCAAGAGCTCCTTTCACATTATCAAAATAGTAACGAAAACTGGGAGCGCGGTGATTTACTCTTGAGACTGGTGCCATCATCATCATCATGATCCATTGTTAATACCTCGGTGGGCTGTGTCTGGTAGGATGGGGATGGTTTAGTTAATTTTGATGTGTTTGCTCGATTTGTTTACCCTTGTACTGTACTATGCACTGCTATCATGTTTTTGTATTGGTTGTTGTTGGAACGTTCTTATCCGCCCTGACTGGACATCTGTGGGGGAAAAAGAGCTTTATAGCTCATCGGATTCCTCCAGGTATAAAGAAACATTCTTATTGGCAGATGGCCCGTATGTGTCTACCGCAACATTTCGAATGGTATCACTCACTGGCTCGCTCTTTCAACGCGGGCAGATCAAACGAATGAAGACTCCGTAAAGCGCGGACTTGCACGCGATCCGACGGCAATCCAACCCGAGTTCGGATCCCGAGCGATGAGTCGCATGCAACCGACTCGCTGCCATGCACCGTCTGCGGACGTCTCTGCAACCGGGCTTGCGAGAAGTTGCTCGACAGGTTGCAGCGGATGCGTTTCATCGCCACTGATTTGGTGGTTTATGATGCTCGAGCCGCGGCTGTTAAAATGTCATCGTTGCGCAACGACTGCGCGCTCGGACGTGGGCGACGTCGTTCCAGGGGCAAAGATTGAAGTTGCGCGACTTTTTTTTCTTTCCCGGCGATTTGGGTTGCGCAACCGGTCGCTCGCGCGCGGACAAAGCTTTCCAGCAGCTCACCGCAAAGACGGAGATCGAAACCTGCGTGGTGAAATTAGTCACCGGCAAATTGTACAAGCGGACAACTTAAACTCGCTTCTCAACACCCACCCAAGTTAACCAATCATGTCAGCTCGATTACTAATTAAATCGCAAAACCCGCCGCACGCACCTGATGATGAACAGCACGGTGATTGTTGCCCGCATCGCAAATTCCGTGGCCCAAGTACATTTATCCAGAGATTTTTGGTTAACTTATAGAGTTTGGGGACTGCACTTTTACACTTTGGGGCTATGAGAACTGATATTTGTTTCATACCATACGATTAACAAGTGAAATATGTTGTATTGTCACACGTGTAGTTTCTTATTGGTGAACAATCAGTATAAATCGTATTCTTAGAATGTCAAAAAAACCCATGCTTAACTAAGCCCGTTAAATTTTAAGTAAGATTTTCCAACGTGAATATCGAATTGCGTCACGTGTGAAATAAATTACTGCCGGATGTTGTTAATTAAGCCTCCTCCTGGGTTACTGTTACAATTAGCAGCACGCATTTATGATGATCAGATCAGCACCTGAGCAAATTAATGAGCGATATTGCGTTGGGAGTGGTGCACAATCACATACAACAACAACAACAACAACAACGATCCCCTTTGTCAATAACTGCGGCCTTAGAAAGAAAACAAACAGTAGGCGACGTTTCGGCCAATGGTCCTTCTTCGTGGCACACAGAAGCCACCGAGGGTAAAGGAGACCAGCGAGGTCGTCCATTAGCAGGCAGCCTGTGCCAGACCGCACTAACCAGCGTGGTGAAGTATGGTCAAACAACCCCTCATGGGGGGGGGGGCGAGGGGGGTGATGGTAGGCACTCATCCGCCAGTAGCCTGACAACATATCGGGCAGACAAAATATTCCCGTGTACGAGAAAACACGAGGCAAGAAATTCAAATAACAGGGGAGTTGCAAAATTGTCGACGAACCACATCAGCGCCGTGAGTCACCTTACCCCCGTTCCACCTGTAACAACCACAGGGGGGGGATCTCACAGAGGGGGGCCCTGCCACATACCCCACCTGCGATAAACCCTCCGCGGTACGCGCGCGACTCCCAATAAAAACAATTCCGGTAGCGGCGACCGCTACCCCAGGGGGGCCGCGTGACAGCCCGCGTTGTCGATTTACGTCTGCGACAGATCCACTGCTGGATGACGACTTCCCCCGTGTCTTGACACCGCGGTGGTTGTGGGTGGTGGACGTGGGGGAGGGGGGTGATGTTTGACCATAGGGGTCATCCATTGAGTACGTACGCATGGAGGGGGGAAGGGGGGGTTAACCCAAATGCGTACGTCTGCGTATGGGAGGTCTACGGACAATGTGCGTACGAATAAGAAAGGTGGGGGGGGGTGAAACCTCGATAATAATTTGTCTACATTGGCCTTCAAATGAGTGAGATAGTCCGGCGTTAATATTATTAATCCTTAATCGTTTCTGCGTGGATTAAATATCGGCCGTTCTATCGGATTAGAGGGGGGTGCGTCAAGCTACGTACGCAGGTGGGGTGGGGGGTGTAAAAAGTCCGCGTGCGTACAGGGAGTAGGGGGATTGGCTCAAGCTTTGACAGATTTTTGCCTACCTACTCAATGGATGGCCCCATACTGTGGGGTTTAGTGAATCAAGGGGGGGGGGGCAGCAAGAGTGCCGAGTCAGATATCAAACGCGGCTACTTCATAGCGCGGTGCGCTAATCACTGCGCCACCGTTCCGCGCCCGCAAGGCCTATTTGTGTTTAATCACATATGTTATAGAGGGCGATCGTGAAGCCTTAAGACTCCTCGGGGCAAGTGCTGTTAGCGAGCACCTATTAAGGCGCGCGAGGTTGCGAGGGGGTGATGTGGGCTGGCCACACCATCAACCGCACCGGGCCGCCTTTGTCTCCCGAGTTCCGACAGTTCTATAGGTACTCATTATACCCCCGGAATCGAACTCTGCTAATTACACGTTCCGATCATTTCAATCGACATACGGCAGCACGCTTATAAGCGGCATGCGATGGATTAACGCGACTGTGGTCTTCCGGATATCCTATAACACGCAGCCATTCATCAATCATCTTTAAGACGTATGCGTGTTGAACTTCTTTCACACCGTACGTAACCAACCGTGCTAATCGGATGTGCAGATCCTGTCCACGCCCCATCGGTCTCGGAGGGGGCGGGGGCGTTATTTGACCATACTTCACCACACTTCGTGGGTGTGGGAGTCTCCCTCACCCCACCCCCGCTGACATCAGGACCAGTCCCGGATATCGTTCACCAACTGATGTTGTTGTTAGTTCGTGAGTCCCTGGGCCGGGAATCGAACTCAGTGCGCCAACCGCTGCGCCCAGGTAAAGCTATGCCCACCGGTTCCCTCCTCCCCAGAGTGCTGCATAATTCAACACGGGTGTCCGAACCAAGACCGCCTTCTCTCCCAGTAGCAGCAGCAGCAGCAGCGACCCAGCAAGGCCCGTACAAGGCGCACGCGTAACCCCGGGGACAGCACCCGCCAGCTCCCAACTCTTCTTCGAGGCTCGACAACATTCGCCAGCAACAACGCGCTCAGCGCTCGCTCGCAATTCTGGGAGGACGGCGAGAATTTGCGAGCCCAAGAAGAAATGCGACACCGCCACCATCATCATCATCATCGTCGTCTTCCCAAAGTGGACCCATGCATACATCATCATCATCTTCGAGTCGACCACGCTGCCTTAACACCACTACCGTCATTGCCAATTAGATCGCGCTGCCATGCAGACATGCTCGTCTGTCTAAAATCGACCACGCTCTCCCTACACCATCACCACCACCATTCTCAAATCGACTACTAACGATCTCATCCTGTGTGTAACACACGCGCGAATCCACTAACTTCACGCACCGCCGAAAGGATCTCCCCGCCCCCCCCCCCCCCCCATGCTCACCGCGGAGCCGAACGCGCACCAAACCCAGCAGCAAAACCGCGACGTCCAACCTCGGAATGAATTCGCAGCAGCAGCAGCAGCAACACATTCAGTCAGCCTTACCTGAAGTCCATCGCGTGGCTTGCGATCCTCGACACACACAGATCTTGGAAGTTGCTCTTCATCCGGTGTAGTTTCGGTGTTCACGTTGCTCGTCGTCAGCCGTACGAAACAGGCAAAGCAATACGACGAGAGCGGGGTTTCGCGAGCTGAGAATATGATAGACATTCACAAAGACAAAGACCCCCCCTCCCCCCCACATCGTATAGCCTTAACATACTGTTGGGGCAAGTGCTGTTATCGAGCACCTATGAAGGCCGGCACGGCACACGCGACGTGGCCATCGCCAAACCCGGGGCCTTCCTTTGTCTCCCGAGTGTGTCGATGCTTTAAACACATCGCACCAGGTACTCATTTTATGCCGAGTTGATCCTACGGGACCCAGGGACACGTCCACGCGCGCGTGTTGCAGACGGGCGCTCGCAGCGAGCGATATAACCATACCACGTCTCCCTCCGCCGCACGAGACGCTGTGGCCCGGCCCGGCTCGGGCTAGGCTCCGAGTCACAGAGTCTATGTGCAGCTTGCAAATATTTGCGCGTATTTAACAAACATTTTCTGTTTGATCGTCGTTCTGATCCCGGTGCTGCGATGCAATAAAACAAAGACGTTGCTTTGTACCCCCCCCCCCCAAAAAAAAAAAATAGGAAGGTACATATGCGCGCGCGCGTGTATGTGTGTGTCTGTATACACATGTATATGTAGCAGTGGTAATAATGGACATTCGCTTGAACAAACTCGGCGTAAAAACGAGCCGAGTTTATCTTTAGAGTGGTCGAGAAATTCCATGTATGTCGTGTCTCGCTATTTATTGGCGGTTCTCCCCCCTCCTCCCCCGCACACTGCGATTGATGAAGTGACGCATTGACAATTTGCCGTTTCGATTTGCAGCCAGGTACGATCCACTGCTGGATGAAGGCCTCCCTCCGTACACGCCGTGGCCCGGGTGAGGCGCTGATGTAGAGGGGGTGGTGGGGGTGGATAGCATGGGTCTGGTCAATTTGAGAAATCACTCGCCACTGATGTTAGCCGTGGTCGGGAGTTGAACCCGGGTACGAGAGACGGCGCATTGTGCTCGACCAGTGCGCCACCGCTCCCCCCACCCCCTGCCTTTAAGTGTTCATGAATTATTCATACCATCGTGTATTCACGCGTTCGTGTCGCTCCTGTACCCGTTCAGAGCTGCACAAGGAAGGTATTCAGAGCTATTCTGAGCAGCGCATGGCCAATATGGAATATGAGATCTCCTGCAAAGTAGGCAAATGCATTCACATCCGTAGGCGTATTTGAGTCCATCGGCCTAGTGGCCTCCCAGACTCGAGAACTCACCCCCAGCCTTTGCTGCTTAAGCAAGCAAACTGTGCATCTGATAAGCCTATAGAATGCCTGTAGAGTTACACTATACTGGTTATGTTTAGTGCAGATAGGGAGCACGTGTGCGCGTGCGTTTGTTTATTTATTTACCCACAATGGCCACACTACATCGCCAAATTAGTCGATTTAATCTAGCCGGTGTTTATGGCTCCAAATATCTCAATGTAGCAGGACCCTCCTGATAAGAATTCTTGAGACTCAAGTGAGTAATACTCCGTTGGTAGATCCTAAATAAACACAAAAAAACATAACACTTTCTCGAATAACGCTGCCTCAACAGAACTATGTACGTAAATAATAGGCCGTTTCGGTTAAAGACACTTTTCATGGTACATACAACAATCTGTAAGCTGCGTCTCTTTTATACTATCTACAGAGTAAACATTTGAATCAACACGCTATTCGATCAACTGTAATTGTTATCAGTCTGCAACATTGTACACAATTGTCCCAAGAGAATATGCTGCATAATCTACATATACATTCTTGAATATCCACATATAAATTACGTTCTCATTTCATATGTTTTAAGTTACGGTGAATATTTTCGCCTTTACGTTGATATATTCAAGGTTAGAAATGTTATAAAGTTGTATTTGTATATATATTTATCCGATTAACACAATACACGGAGAGCATAAACGTGGTCACGTGTAACGGCCGCCATTTATAATGCATCAACATCCGTTGCAATGACGCAGTCGAGAATTTGAATTTTTAGTCTCGATAAGCGACGGAGTTTGCTCCTATATAGACTACAACAATATAACAACCCATTGTGCAACATACAAGCTTACCGTTTTTTTCATTTGTATAAAACAATGTTAGGTACTAGAGGCAGAGTTTTAATAGCTACCACGAAAAAAATAAAATTGTATAGTTTATCCAAACCAAAAAAATGTGCCGTGTCCGGTCTTAAACACATCGACAGTCAATGGCCTTTCATTTCGCTGTCCATGATATTCACTCAAGAACTTCGCGTGAGATATTTACTCCCAGTCGCATCCATTTGTTCCTATTGCTCATATTGCAACTTAATTCGCTATATTCCCCGGCTTTTTGTGGTACCTAGAATTAGCCCAGTCAAAAACCCTTGTTTTCTCATTACATGTCCAAATAAATTTGTATTCGCCTTTCTCTAATTCGTAATATTGTCTTCTTGCGTATACCCTGCTGCTATCCGTGATACATTCATGTTACTGACGCTTTTTCTGTTCGTGAAATATTCTCACATCCTTTAAAAACGACATTTCTAAAATAAATGCGTGACTGCCTCCGTCAACAACCTATGTCGTAATATACAGTACAGTACGATATACATATACAGTATTTACAATATTTTGTCTACTTTTACATAAAACTATAATAACAATGATGCTTTGAAACCCTTTTGTCAATCCACTGTTGGATGAAGGCCCTCCCTGGGCCATATCGCTCATCGGGGTTGTTTGACCGCAGAGTTTGTTAATATGCGCAATGTATATACATACACGTTGCATATACACCGTGCATATATACACGTTGTACACATATATTGCAGATACTATAACTCACTTGAGATCACATTGCTAGGCAGATGTAGTATTTTAACAATGACACGGTTATATCTGTAGATGTGCGTGGAAAACGACCAATAATATCCACACGAAATACCCAATAGTTAAAAAAATGAGTTCATACAATTCAGAGATCAAGAATTGTTTTATTTATTTAATTAAAAAACGTAGATGTGCAACGTGTCCCAGCCCCTCGGTCAATCCACTGCTGGATGACGGCCTTTCCCCCCCACGCCGTGCGGGTCGGTGGAGGTTTGTTATTTGACCAAACATCGACACGCTCACCCACACACACTCGTGTGCATGGAGTTGCATTACTCGAAGTCACACAAAGCGTGCAGCACAGAGTTGGTGGTGAAGTCACATCGTCACCTATTACCCGATGGTAATAATAATAATTTCAACAATATTTGACTTGTTATTGAAGCGATATGTACGACTATACGGCACATTGTTGTTGTTTAACTGTCGGGTACATATCGATCCATATACAACTTGTAATACAGTATATTCAAATACATCAATATTAAAGATTTTTGCATTAATCGATGGAGAGTAACAATTATTTTCGCTTGAGGTTCGCTAGTTCATTGCTCTGCTGCACACTCGAGGCTTCGTCTCTATCACACAAACACACACACCAATAATCTCTCCGCACTCGTTAGCGATGCGTGCACCTAACCTGGCACCCCTCCCCCCCTCTCACACACCCTCCGTTGAACCCTTGAATCACACCTGTATTGCCGGAAGAAACATGAACACCCCCCCTCCCCAATAAACTACTTTTCACAATGAAGAAGGGTGATTGCCCGAAGCATCGCCGTTGAGGGCAGTCTCATTGACAAGTGCATTGGGTCGCCGTTTGGTTCACACGGAGACCGCGTGCGTAATCGCTGACCGCGCGTCTCCACGCCTCGCCGATGCAATTTTGCCCCAAACTCGCCCACACCCCCCTCCCCATCCCACACCATTCATTAAATCAGTCGCTCGCTCGCTCGCTCGCACGTTCATTCATTCGTTTCAAGAAAATCCGCACGCGTGTTTATTCGCCAGTGTATTCGCGAACCCCCGTGCGTTTGTCGCGGGTTCGTCACTTGTTTTGTGTATTCGCGGCAAGCAGAGAAAAGTGTGCAAGTGCGAGAGAGAGAGAGAGAGGAGGGGGCCGTCTTGAGAGCTGAGGATATTGATCGCCATACACAAAGACGAAGATGCCCCTAACCACCCTCCCACCCCTCCGGATAGCCTCAACAGACCGTAGGGGCAAGTGCTGTTAGCCAAGGCACGGCAGCGCGAGAAGGGTGGGGTGGCCAGCACCACGCCCGGCCGCCGTTGCCACCCCAATGCTGATGTATACACGGCGCACCAGGTTACTCGTTTGAGGCCGAGTCGACCTAGGGGAGGCCCAGGGCCGGTTGAATTAATCGTCAGCGATGTTGGTCGTGAGCGAGAATCGACAGCGAGTCGCCGGGTTCATCGCGCAGTGAGTGCGCTAACCACCGCCCCACCGCTCCCCGCTACACACGCACACAGGCACATGCATATAACGAGCACACATACACACGTAAACAACGCACCCTCGTGTAACCGACACAGATCGTTGGATCAAGTGCATATGCAATAAAACACACACGCACAAACATAAAGACTGCTGGGGCAAGTGCTGTTAGCGAGTCGCACCCGTGAAGGCCGGCACGGCAAACGAACAGGTGGGTGGCCAGAACCACACCCGGCCGTCTTTGTCTCCCCGGTGGCGATGTTTACACACCGCACCAGGTACTCATGTGAGGCTGAGTCGACCTAGGGGAGGCCCAGGGCGGGTTCAGATAATCGTCCCTGGTGTTTGTGGCCGTGAGCGGGTAGGTCGGAGTTGTTGCGCTGCGCGCGAACCGCTACGCTACCGCTCCCCACTGCACACGTTTTCCCTGTGTGTGTATATACAAATATCCCCCGTATAGCCTCAGCAGACGATTGGGGCAAGCGCTGTTAGCCAGCGCACACACTGGGAGTCACAAACCTTCGCGCTGAGCGAGGCGGCGTGGGTTGCTGCTGCTGGTGATGGTGTCATAACACGAGAGCGGTGGCGCAGTGGTTAGGAGCACTGCGCTACAAAACCGGGCCCCCACCCGGGTTCGATTCCCGCTTACGGCTAAACAGCAGTGGACCACATTTGAAGAGTTCCCGAGCCACCCGCGTGTACGCTCAGCCTTAAACGAGTGCGTAAG